CCCCCCCCCCCCCACCCCATGCAAGCTGCTCTGCACTCATCAGACGGTAACAAAGAGCCTCCAAAACTCACTTTTGTAATCTGCACTCCAGCTCCCAGCCTTGAAGCTTGTGCCTTGGCATGCTATTAGCAGACATTGACCCAACCAGCTGGTGGATCAGCAAGCTTCAAGCAAGAGAAATTCTTTCTAAATCCTCATTACAATGATAATAAAATGCTGACATAGTCTAAAACTGGTCTTGCCTACATGGCTTTACTACCAGCCTTACTGTCAGAATCATCCTTGCCATCAGTATTATGATCATCTCTATTAGATGAGATAATCTCAATTATCATTAGTGCTAATTTATTATGTTCCTCATCAGCTCTGTCATCAGTGTCATTCATCTAATTGTTGCTCATAAGCATTTAACAAAGAAAAACAACGTCTAATCTGCAACATTTAAATCAGCTCTGGGAGCAAAAGTGGAAAAAACCCCATGAAACTCTCAGACCTCCCACAGCATTGCAACTACTAACAGTCTGGAAAAAGAATTGATCTCCAAAAAATGTCTGTAACCTTATCTACAGACACCAGTGGATGTGTAGAAGGTTTTCATCGGGAGGAGTGGGCAATGATGATCTATCTGCTCACCCCTGTGCAACAGATTCTTGGGCAGAGAAGGACAAGGTACAGTCCTCCCTGGCTAGAGACTGATAGGATAGGAAACAACAGTGAAGGTCAGGAACATACCTGTGCATTTATCTCTACCCCATAATTGCAGTTTGCTAGAATGATCTTTTCCTCTCAATTATTTCATTACATGCCAGTGAACTGCAACAGGCTCAGTATAGTTCACAGGTGCATTTTGCTGTTTTCTGAATATAGAAAATGCGGGGATACCACCCAAGGATAGACATCAGTGCGGCAGTGATATTTTATGGTACAGGAACTCTTCCCTTCAAGACAAATCTATTATAAATACTTGGATGACCCTCAAACACCTGTGAACGCATTTGTTCAACAATCCTCAAAAACAGAACGCTGGAGTTATGAGATCTACTTCACATATGCCACAGGATGAGGGAAAACAATCCAGGGCACATAATTTCAAAGCCAGATTCCTAAAGCAGAAATTCCCTGACTGTCAGCAGGGTCACTTCTGCAAGCACTCTCACAGCAAGGAGCCATCCCAACCAGGCTGCTAATGGCAGCTCTGATCCCACAGACAGCACGGGTCTCCTTGAGCCGCAGGCACGTGCGTGGAAAGCCAGATGTCCTGGTTTGTGTCTCTGGCACAGCACTGGGACACTGCAGCCAAACTCTTCCCTGACCCAATTGCACAGATGCCGGAGGAGCGGCAGTAGCACAGGGCTGCGCTTTTTTATCTTCATAGGAGCAGATGCGGGAGGGGACTGATACACGTGAGACCATAACTACAAATTCCAGTGCAGCGAAGCATTTTGCACTTGTTTCCCCTTGGCAACCTGCAGCACAGCAGAGAAAGCAAATGGCAATCAGTGGTTTTGGCAAGCTGAACGTGATTCCTCACCGCTGACATCTGTGTGACGGTCATCCACTCGGGAGGGATGTGGAAGTGAGCGCCGGCCGAGTCTCCCAGGAGCACGACCCCTCTGGAGTCTGCACCTGATGGATGCATTTTGTCAGTCACATGGGCAGAAAGAGCAAACTGAAACCCAGCTTGGAGGGTGCTTAAAGAGGAACAGCAGTAGCAGCTGATGGAGTCACAGGGTGACTGACTACACCACCCTTCACGAGGCTTAAATGTTCAGACACTGCAATAGGATTTTCACTCCATCTGCAGCAGAAACCATCTAACAGGCATTTGCCAACAACCCTAGAGAAACAACTGGGAACTGGGCATGAAAAACAGGGGGAGGTCTTGCTAATTGGTAAAGAGTCCTGGTTGTATTCAAATTGTGTGTTATTTCAGCAGAGGTTCTGCTGTGCAGGCAGTGTTTATTTTTACTATCCATAGATTATGCATTAAAAAGTACTTAAACATTTAGGGAAATCGGATTACTCAGAAAATTGCTCAAAGCTCCTTATAACAGAACTGGGTGGTGGATGTGCTACTCATATGAGTATTTCTGCTAGAACAATCTGTCTGGTTTATAATTAATGTCACTTAACATTTGCAGATTAGCCTTTCATCTAAAAATGTTGAGGAGTCTTGCCAGGCAATGGTTCATCCCCAGGATACTGATTTCAGTGTGAGGTGAGGTGAGTGGCAACTGCAGTCACTGCTGGTTTGTGCAGGCTTTTATTTGTGCAGTGTGGCCACACAGACACCCACCCAGATCATGGTCAGGGAGATCAGCTGGTGCCATCATTTCACCCCTTTAAGGCCTTATCTGGAAAAAAATGCATGTATTTATGGCAGGAGGTAAGACTGGGCAAATGCAAATGTTAAGCTGCTTCCCTAAATCTCAAAGCCATTACACTGGGTTAGTCTTCAGGCACCAGAGAAGATGCAGAGCTGACATCTCAGTTTGCTGCTGCCTCCAGTCCATGTATTCAACTTCATTACTGAGCTGACTTTTAATGGGAAATTACCAGCATCCTGTGTTTTACAAATTTCATCTTTATCAATCCTCAAGATTAAAAAAACTCGATAATTTGCTTTTCTCATGATGTCTCATGTTTTCTCATGTTTCCCTTGCCTTGTGAACATGCAAATGTTGAAATGTTTATCAAATTAATACATAAGATACGTGGTTTATTGTATTGACTCTAATTATTTACCTTTGCAGAACTTCTCTTCATAGGGAATTCCATCTTTTGGATCCACACCCTGTTGGAGAAGAGAAAGGGTAGATAACAGTACCTATCTAGCACCTGAAGAATGGCAGCGCAAAACAGAGGCTGAAAATCTAGTTATTCTTGAATGTTTGCCTGCAGGAGGCACTGCATCATAATAATGATGCAGTGACATTATCTTAATAAGTAGATGTACATTTTAATTAATCATATAAGCTATAATTTAAATAATCATAAGCATCAATAAACAAACTTAATATCAGCTAATAAAACCAGAATAAATAAAAAAGGAACACTTCTAAATTAAATCAAAGACTAAAGAGGACAAAAGAGAAGCAGCAATCAGGAAGATGCAACTTCATTTACTTACCCATATACCATTGCAGTTAGAGTCACTTTTTGCATCCCAATTATCAGGACTAAAACAGAGACAAAAAAGGATAATAAATGTCACAAAAAAGAATTGGGAAATAAGATCCCTAGTGCCATTTTTCACCAAAATTAAAAAGGAATTGAAATTCCTTTCTGCATGAAAGGGTGGGGTTTTTCTCCCTTTTGATCTAGGAGAGGCAATTTTTCCTAGCAAAATGCAAGCGCAAAATGCAACATTAATTTAAAGTTAATACGGGAAATTGCTGAATGAAACTTATCCTTTTAGTCAGTGGCATGGTTTCCCTCCACATCTCTGGTCTGTCTGACCAATTGTAGCTTCAGATGCTTTAGAGAAAGGAAAGAAATGTGTGCACCACTCCCACAAAGGAGTTCCATCCCTGGTCTTGATCATCTCCTCTTGTGTCCCTCAAAGCAAAGTCAAGCAACAAGCAGTGATGTGCTGTCTAAGATTATGGTCAAAACAAAATCTGGAGCTCATTCTTCTGGAAGCCACAGTTAATAAGAAGCCTTTAAAATAATTAAAATCTTTACCGCCTGCCAGGGTACACAGTTGTGTTTTTGTCGTTGCAGTCTCTGCCTCGCCAGTGATAGCCCCTCAATGTCTAAAGGCCAGGAGAAACACACAGATAGGACAGCCATTATTACTCTTGCACTTTTAATTTAAAATATCTAAAATGAGAATCTAACTCAAGGTGTAGGAATAAAACCCAGTAAACGGGTTTTATTCCAAACTCCTTTTGCTAAGCTTTAATAAGTGACACCTAGCATGCTTTGGTGCAGCAATAAGACAAGTTGGCAATTTATTTTTTTGTTTAATATGAATTCACCTCTTATTAATTCAGTAAACAACCACTCAGCAGCAGAGCAATTTGCTTCTGCAGGGAGCACAGCTTTATGTGTGCATTTCCCCAGGTGGCACACATGAATGATTGCTTTTTCATCCAGGAAAAAACTCAACATTTTATGACAAAAAACTGTTCCATTCATTTTATTCCTTTTCCTATTTTCACATGAATGGATAAGGCTTTGCAGAAAGTAGGAGGAATCCCAGAGACATTCTCATTATCAAGGGATTACTGTACCAAAGGAAAGGCTTTGCTTACTGGGAAGGTACTAAATTTATCTCCATCAAAATCTTCAAAAGGCAGTTTATTTCTTAGAACACTGTAAAAAAACAAAAACAAAACCCATAGTGTTAACATATGGAAGGGAATCTATTAAGAAAGTAAAAAAACACAGTGAAGTGTACAGAACAGATAATAACTGGCATGATATTCACTGCTCTATATTCAGTTGTGCCTCCGTGCTTGTACTTCAGCAAAGTGATCCTGCCCAAAGAGCAAATTCTGTATTTCAATATCTGCTGACTGAGCTCTGGAGGTGATGCTGATGGACTCCTGTATGGCTTCAATGTCAAACCTGCAGTCTCTAAAACTAACTGAGACAACAAATCTGTGATAAAAATTGGTTTTTTTTTTTCCTACAGAAAGAGGAAAGTAAAAACCCAAAAATGTTGAGGGAGAGAGAGTGCATGAGGGAGAGATCAGAAAATCTGAGTTGAATACATGCAATCCAACATATGATATACAATTTCATTCCTTTCCACTGTCTGAACTCACAGGGCTCAAACTCAGCACACTTGCAAGATTTTTCATGTCAATCAAGGCATTCCAAATAAACTCCTGATATTTGCAGTTTCAGTTAAATGAGCAGAAATAGGTTAGCAGTTAGTCTTGGCAGTTGAATCAGTCAAATATACAGCTAATAATCCTGATTTATTCTTAGACCTGCTTGAGTATTCCTCCAAGTCATTGGAGTACATCGACAAATACACTTTACAAGTAATCGCCCAGCTCATGTCCCTGGCCTTTCTTAGAAACTGACTCAGAGTCAGCACTGTCATGAGTTGTTTTTCATGGATGCCATCCACCTGACTTTCTTAAATGCCTTGGGATTGTTCTATGCTTCACAACTGACATTAAATTTGGGTTCCTCACAGAGTTATGCAGCTGCTGGTGGCCTTCCTGCACTGAGACATGGGCACCACAAATGGGTGAAAAATGAAGAAGTTTCTTGGGCTCAGAAAATCTCAGGAGAAAGGTAGTTTCCTCTTGGAGATGTCACATCTGTGAGAGTGTCACATATTTGAGCTCTGGGACGTGCTAAAATTAAGCAAATGGTTTAAGCGCTAAAACAACCACAAGGATCCCTGTGAAGATTATTGCTTACCTGAACTCTGTGCAGACTCCTTCTGTACTACCTAGACAGTGGTTTTATAAAGGAAACCAACACAACCAAATATGGGAAGCTTTGTTAGCTAAGGATGACTTTCAAAAGAAGCAAATTTACCATGTTCTGTTTCTAGTTAAGTACTGAAAATGTATACATACTATTTAATCTTCTCACACAGGTTAGCCAGAAGAGGAAATGCACATACACTTGAGAAGCCCATGAAGTTTTTCTGGCGAGGAAGAAAAATAAAAGTAGAAGGATGCTTTAGTTCACAGAAGTGGTGTAGCTTGGGATATTCAGTGTCAGTAAATTACAGAGCTAAACCATGTATTTTCTGCCTAGAAACATCAAAAAAATCCAATGATGCCAATAAGGATGCTATATGCCAGAGGATTTAGATCTGACACAGCAGTTAAGGATTAAGGCTGAGCATTTTACAAACCAAATATTCTTGCTTTCAAAGACATGTACAACTCAAAAAGGAAAAAAAAAGTTCCAGTCTTCTCTCTGTCTTCTCTAATGTAACCAATTTTTTTTTTTCATTCTTTGTAAAAATTACTGTTCTCATGTTTGGTAAACATGGTGGCACCTGACACAGTGCAAATCTAGTGAAAGCCACATGCTTGGAGCCATGAGTCTGGTTTCTACATGCCAAAGGCCAGGGACAACTCTAATAAGAGCAGAAATGAGAAGATCCAGACTGTGCATAGAATACCCTTGAATTTTTAAAATGAGATTTTTACCTGGAAATCTAGATTTTATCTTGGCCAAACATGTAAGATGTAAAAGACAGCTGCTGCTAAAAAAACTCATTCAACATCAGTAGCCCATAGCCTTAGGCCAACCCAGTTGATGTTCCAGGTAGCCAGGAAGCTTCAGAAGCTGAAAGAGACATTCCTAATGAATTGTGTTGCATGGGCAATTAATCCCATAAACATGCTGCTCATGTGGCTTCACTGTAAGTTCAGTTGGTCTTGAAACACTGAGGGTGCTCAAGTGGTCTCTAATTGCAGAGGGCTAATTGGTGCACAGCCCAGTTCTCTGTATTCACTGAGGCTACATTTGCCATGTAAATATGGAGCAGATGAGCAGAAGGGCATACTCATAATTTTATGCAAAGAAGGGTAATTGTTTATCCAGACACAGCACTTGAAAGCTCTGTCCTTGGACCAACTGCTTTCTGTTACATACTTTATATGCACAGAAAAAAAGAGTAAGGTAGTCCTCAACCTAATGATATTACAACCTGTGCCCATCATGAAACAGAAGGTAAAGCTTGGATACAGCTCAGTAGAGGCCAGTGGAAGGTTATTACACACCACGTGGGTCTATAACCCCAGTGTACACAGCTCTGAGTGACAAAGGAGAACTATGAGGCAGCACAGCAAGGCAGTGAGGTCAAGAAGCCTAGGGCATTTCCTTGCAGCTCCAGGGAAGGTGTTTGCTTGGAGAGGTAACAAGGGGCAATGGAAATAAGGGTCTCACGCTGCCCAGAGCAGGAGGTCAGGCACAGAAATACACCGCAGCCAGGATCTCAGGGTGGTGAGGAGAACTGGGCTAGTGGAGAGGGGACAGAGCCCGTAGTACAAAGATTGCAGCAACATTTGTGCTGGTGGCTGAAGTGCCCATGCAGCACTTCATGGTGAAGCAAGGTGAAGATGAAAAAGAGTGGTACCTTTCTCAGGTACCACTGAAAAGGAGGAGGAGGAGGAGATATCTGCAGTGGAGTAGGAGCTGCAATGGTGCACTTTCTGAAGAAGGCAAAAGTGAAATCAAGGAGAAAAGAAAAAGGAAGGTCAAGGAGACAAGAAGCATGAAAAAAACCACCAGTTAACTTTCTTCAGCTCTGTGCAACACACTCATATGACAAAGCTTTAGTCACAGTAGCTTAGAGGGGGAGGAGGTACTGGGGAGTGAAAGGAGAAACCAGAACACAACCACAGAAGAACTGGAGAGAAAAAGCCAAAAGCAGCCAAGGGGCCTTTCCTTAGGCTGAAAGACCAACCTGGTCCCACTGCTGCACCTCCAGTTGCCCTCTGCATGTCCCTATGCCTCTGCACCTCTGTATTCAAGCTATTAGCTGCCTCAGGGCTGTGTCCTGCAGCGTGGCTGGGACACAGGCCTCCTTTTTGCTCAGTGTGTATGGTCAGGTGGGCAGAGAGCATGAAAGGTGCACAGACAGGATGTCAGGTTTTCTCAAAGAGATTTACAAACCTATGTACGCTTCCTGGAAAGAGGAAAGAAATCACTTCCCCCTCTCCTTCATGCAGGACTAATCCTGCCAATAGAAGCACCAGAGACTCTCTAAGCCTTCCATCAGACTAAGATTTGCAGGGTCTTCATCTGAGCTGTCAGTTTTTCACTTCAGCCTAAGCCACAGTATGCAAAGCCTTTGAAGTTAAGGTACCTGTAGTCAAAACCGCACCAGAAAGACAAACTACAGGGCTTGCAAAAAATAAGTACATAAGTAAAACCTCCTTTTATTCTGTTCACAGGCTGTGCTAAAAGTTTACCTTTTGCTGTAAACAGAATAAAATTTTTCCTGTCTTTTTCTCAGGTAATCTTTTGAAAATTCTTGCTGACTGGCTCTCCGTTGATTTCAAAGGCAGGTTATCTTGCATTCCCAAAGACTGCCCAACTTTGGTGGGAATGGATGCACGACGATTACCTGGCAATGCTGTTGCTGAGGACCAGCTGCAGCAGCATTCTGAAACCCAGCAGCCTCTGGCTCCACAGCCTTTGTATTCCCACACCAGGTGGGACAGTGAGATCTGGAGGTAATGCTTTAGTTCTGCTTGGCATTGTGCAGGAGAGTGGCTCATCTGATCTTTGAGGTTGCCTTGGCTATTCTCAAAAGGCAAGGAATACAGGTATAAAAAAGGAGGGAATCTTTGTGTGACCAGGCACTATTGGGTCCTTCCCAGCAGAGACAGGCTATAATTGCAGCATGAGTTGTTGACAGAAGATGGGCTACTTGCCCCTGTGTAGCATGGGGGAGTGGGCAGGGGATCAGCTTATGGATGCTCTCTCCATGGCTTCCCACTTGTCCCACTGTCAGGCCGTGACTTGCAGGCACCTTGTAGTCATGACAGGATTGTACAAATGGTGCCTGCTCTCATTAAATGCCAGAACTCTGATCACTATTCTTTCATTGCTATTGCTCAAAGATGCCCCTTAGTATCTTCTCCACCCACAAGAAGAGTTAATGCTAGAGGTGCTCCCAGTGATTGATAACACTAATATCCTATTCATTGCCTGTTAACATTCCCTAATGACATTTCTGTAATTATTTTAATTGGTTTTACTAAAAAGAATAACAATGAGCCTCTAATGCTTGTTGGTGTTTGGTTTAAGCCACTGCCTTAGAGATGGCTCACTCCTTTTAATGAACGGAGACATCTATTTGAATTTTTTTGAAGTTGTAGCTGCTTTCACTGCATTTCTACATCTGCTGAATACCTTCTCTTTTTTCCAAACTCATAATGATCCTAAGAAATTCCAAGTAAATGTGAAATCCTGGGATCCAGATAGATCTCCCATTCTCATTACAACAGCCATCATAACATCTCTTCTTTTATGCACAGTCACACACAGCTGCCATGCCAAGATGGGGACAGTTAACTTGCAAGAACCTCTTCAGAAGGCTTTCCCCAAACATACAATGCAGCAAAGTAACCAAAAGAGCAGATATGGGAAGAATTGACAGATCTAATTTGACTTTTTGGTCTAGCATGAGCCAGAGCATGAAAGAGTCCAGATGAATGTTTTTCTTTCTTCAACTGATATTTATGCAGGGATGTCCTACCACAGCTGGGATGTTTCTGGTTCCTCACCCACACACTCAGCCAGGTAATCTTCTCCCCAGGCAGTGAGAGCAATTCAGCTCTCACTAAGGAGTATCTGCCTGTGCAGGTAGCATCATGATTTGGGAGCCTTGAGACTGTGCAGGTGATTTCCTTACTCTTTCATCACATGCTGCTCTTCTGGGAGACATGGCTTATGCAAGCATGATTCACACTGTGCTCCCTCCTAGAGATTCTCTTTTGTGTTTCTCACTGCATTGTTTTTCTGGATCTGAAAATAACTTCAGTCTGGGTGAATGGGAAATTGCAAGCTGAAGTAATGCCTCTAGAAATGTTATTTTCTATTTTCCAGGTTGAAAATAAGTTTCAGCCAGGGTCATTACAGGAAGCACACTAGGAATAATGGCAGGAGAAGCCAAGCAAGCATATGATACATGTTTTAATTTGAGCTGACCTTGCATTGTGCAGAAGGTTAGGAAATACTTTGAAACCCAACTGTGACCTTTCTGCTTCCAGCCTGTTTGTCCTTCCTGCTGGCAAATAGGCAGCTAGGAGCAGAAAGGGGCTGAGGGCCAATGGAGATTGAGAGAGGAACTGCATTGAGCAGTTTTGAGGATACACGTGAGGAAAGGCAAAATAGGAGAGCCTATTGCACCCAAATATTGATGCCAACCATGCCACCCTACCCAGGACAGCCTGAAAGGATGTGGCATGCCCATCCCAAGAAAGTGGGATGTGGCTGGCTATGTGAGGGACTCAGCCCAATATGCCAAGGGTGCAGCATGTGCAAGGAAGTAAAGGAATTTTATCCCACAGGGCAGCACCCCCGTGCCAGTCCCTCTCCAGCCCCATGCCTGCACCTATCTCCAGCTCACAGAGAGGACCTGCTTGACTCAGAGCATCTTGTTACAGGTGTTAATGTGCGGACTTGCTCCAGGGAGAGAAGAATAAAGATTTCATGTAATTTGAGTGGAAATTTGAAGCCATCAGTAGCACAGCACCGAATAGTAAGGGAAATGAGTAAGAGATCCTGCTGGTTGCTGTTCTGCGGGAGCTGAGGCCAGTCTCTCCAGTGCTTTGTTTATTTCCCTGGCTTGGTAATTTGGCAATTGCCCAAAGGCTAATTAGGCACCTCAATTTTCACTTTTGTGACTAGCATCACAGTAAGGATTCAGGAATAAGCAATATAAATCATTTCTTCACAAACAGTTAAAGCATTTCCTCTGCATTAAGTGACTTAACTGGAAGCAAACTCTAGGGCTGAACTGACTCACCTAAGTGAACCTAGCAGAATAACAGCTGCTACCCTTCCCTGCTACCCTTTAGAGATCCTCTACAAATCTGAGAACTTTTGGAGGCAGAAAGATTTCAAATGCCATTTTTCAAATTTTAGAGACAAAGGCAGCAACTCATAAATACAGGAAAAATATGCAGAATTTGCATTCAGGCCACTGCTTGAGTTTCAGACAGCCCCAAAGTGCAGTTGTTCTACTCTGAGGTAATGGGTCAGTTCATGAGGCACCACTTACATACAGCTACAAGGTAGCTACATTTTTCATTATTTTTTAAGCTCTCCCCATACTTTCATAATTTTCTCTTATTTCTCCCTCTCTTTCTTCCAGTGTCACCTGATAGAGCAGATCCTGTATCAAGAAGAAGTGAGTCAGCATCCAATTCAATGCTAATCAGGAGGATTCACAGTCAGACAAAACAAACAAGGACTCACTCCTGATAAAATGCCAGTACAGAGTAAAACACCCTAATGCCATTGATTTCTTACCAAGTCCTTGGAAGTCTTCATAATTCTTTTTGCTTTTCTTATTGCAACACTCAGTCCCACCTAGGAGAGCAAGAACAAAATGAAAAACAACCAGATCAGCCTCACAGTATCCTACCAACTTTTCTCCCCATTTCCTACCATTTTTTTCTATTTTAATATCAGTCACAGCACAGAAATGATGTATGAGTCCACAAACTCCTCATCAGTTACTTTTTATTGGACTAACAATCAATTATCCAGTCACCTTCTATGAAACTCCAGTAGCAAGAGTTCATTTATTTTGCTCCAGGGCATCATTTATTTCCCAAGGAAAAGTCCAGATCAGCTGAAGAGCTGAAATTCATATCCTGACTGCACTGCGTGAGCTGCAGAGGACATACTTCTCTAGTGACTCCTCCTGAAGGAAAACTCATCCATTAAAAGGCTAAAAGAGCATTACTCACATAACATCAGTCTGACTTGCTGTGGGAGGGTACAGAGGAAACATTTGCTCTTGCGTGGATAAGGGTTATACTCAGCTGAGGTTCATCCTGGCAGGGGAGCGTGGCATGCAGGAAGGTACACATCAGGGAATAGATTTTGGAAGGAAAATCCCCTGCTTAGGATCCAGGAAGGTTAGCTTTTTGTTCTGGAAATACCTGACCTGGAGAGCAAGCTCTTGCTGACAGTGGCAAGATAGTTTTTCTGGTGGGTCTGTGCCAACTTGTGCTGAAGAGCCATTTTGGGATACCTCCACAATGTGGATACTTATACCTCCATAGAAAGAAAAAGTAGGAGAACCATTCCAAGAAAAGGTCTTGGAGAGGCATCAGGTTGGCCATCATAAGGCCATGGGTTACAAATAAGTCAACTACTAGTGATAGACAAATAAATCCTGAGATTCCTTTGCACACAAGTTCTTTGAAGGAGCAGAGGAAATTTTGTGCAAGGGGCACCATCCATGAGTGTGAGTAACAGCCAAGGACAGCTCTGCTGGCAGCAGGAGGACACATCTGCCATGTGTGGTGCCAGCAAGGTCACATACACCCTGACGGCTGCTTGCCATGGCCAGAACTGCCAAACACTGCCATGGTCCTGCTCTCCAAGCTTTCCTCAAGGCTCTGCCACTGCAGAAACCTCAGCAAATACATCTTTGCAGCCCATGAGGTCCAGAGCCCTGGGTGCTGCCTGGGGAAGTGTTGAAGCGTGGGCAATAAGTAGCTGCTGTTTCTGCACTGTGCATTAAACACTGACCTGGCCTTAAGAAATTTTTCTTGTGTCACAGCACAGAAAGATCACACTGCTTCTCCTGCCACAAAGATTCTTCCCAGTTATGGAGGTGAAGCAATGCCCCAGATATGCTTATGCCATCCAAAATATTTAACAACTGTTTAACAACTCCGACGAACAGAACTTTCTAAATTCAGACATATCTTTCCATAAGAAAGGAAGTTCTCACAACTCCAGTTTAGGAAAATAAATAAGAGAAGAGAGAGTCAGAGGAGTCTGGAATGGTCGAGGTAACGCCAGTGTACTCCCCCCAGCTGCTCCATTTTCAATTCAGGACAATATTTTTGTATCTCAGTGATGACAATTCCCATATGTTGTGCTGCATTTATTAGGCCACCTTTGAAAACAGCTATATCTGTGAGATATTATATGTGACATTACTAAGTGATGGCCTCTGTCCTTCCCCTCAGCATTCAGCATGATGAAGGCTGAAAGCACCGCCTGTTTGCTCCCTTTCAGCCGGAATAACTACTTATGTTCTGCAGGCTTTGAGAACTGGCAAAAAAACCCCAACCTTAAAATAAAAAAGAAGATAAAAATCAATTATTTTGGAAAATGTTTCAAATGGGAAAAAAAATCCAGAATATCACAAACACATTAGCACCTAGTTTCTGCTCAAAACTGTTAGTGGGGACAAACTGCTCTGTCTGAAAATGACCTGCTATCAGTCCCTCCTACAGCCCAGCCTAAGGACATTACTGCCAGCCTAACATCAACTGAGGTGATGTCATCAACTGAGAAGTCAGCACAAGTTTATATTTATCTGGACAGAACTACAGGAACTCAGCAAGGGGGAAAATAGGGATGCTTCAGCAAATGCTATTATTACAGCACTTGGAAAAAAAAGAAAATGTCCCTCATGTGATGGCACCTTACTGAACAGTGGCATGCCAGATTAGAATATTAAAGCAGATTTAATTTGTATTTAAAGTAATCATTGCCAGCATTTTTGTGCTGGGGATAAAATTTAGCATGCTATTATAATTGATTTAGGCAGTGATCAAAGCAAATTAATTAACCGTGATATTCAAGGGTCAAATATTTATGGTGAACAACACAAAGGGATACGGACGAATAAGCATAAGCAGCAAGGAACACAGACTTCTAAGCTGCTGGGTTTTAATATATGTGTCGCATTAATATATGTAGTTAATATATGTTTAATTCATGGTGTCTATAGTCTTCTAAAAATCAGGGTATGTCACAAATAGATGAGAGAAGCTAGCAATGAGCCAAGACGTTGTTTTCTAGTTTTGTCCCCCTGGGCAACTTCTGTCCCCAAAACCAATCATGCATCTTACGTTTGCCATTGTTATGTTGTACAATACCAGCTGCTGTCATTTCTACAATAAAATTACTTGAGAGGCAGATGTGAAAAATTGCTTGAAATTGAGTATAATAGAAGGAAAATTCCCAGAGAGGTAGGATTTATCAGTCCTTTTCTGCTGGCCAGGGTAGGAGAGACCTTTCTTGCTCACAGCAGCAGCACCTGAGAAGTGCATGATTCTGAAAGCTACAGGAATATTGTACTCAGAAAGCAGAAAACAAGGGAGGAAAAGGCTGGAATGACCTTGTGTGTAGAAAACGCTCTCTCTGAAGCACTAAAGTTGACACCTTCTCTCACTTTACAAGTTCCTTCAGCCAAGACTTCAGGTTGGACTGTGGAAGACTGGCAGCTGAAACACCCACCGGGAAGAAAACGCTCCTGGTTTCATGGGTCACCTGTAATCCCTGGCTGACCCCAGCATGTCAAGCCTGCCACTGAAGGCTATATCACCCAGACAACCTCCCCTGCTGCATCTTGGCTAGCAAGGAGCCTCCTCTCTTTCCCATGGCATGGGAACACCACCAAGGAGGGGCTTCCCTAGGCTTCAGCAGCTGATGGATGAGTCCTGGGGAGCAGCCAGCACCATCCACCCCAACTGGTGCAGCCCTGCCACCCTGTGTGCACAAGATATCCAGCCGTGGATGGGGCTGAGGGCAGGGTGTCACTGGGATTTCATTCACTGCCTTCTTTCAGTGTTCTCCACAGAGAGCACGTGCTCCCAGTAATGATTTCTTTTTTGGCAAACAGATGTATTTCTCATTGTAAACAAATGCACAAACCAACTCTAATTCTCTCTCATTTATCATCCTTGTTAGCCAGCTTTTTCCCAGGAGACCAGATATTTACAAAACACTCCAAGTTTCCTTCTAACTCATTTTCATCATCCTTTAACCAGGAGTAGCAAGATAGCAAAATTCTGCAAAGCTTGTCAAATAGCACAGCTGAAAGTGGGATTTGTTAATGAGCAATGATTCTTTGTCCTCACACTTTTGTCTGCCACCTTCCCACCCCAAATATCTCTATGCCTGCTGTTTTCTAGGGTCCTGCCTGAGACAGCTTCTACATTGGCATGGCACAGCTGCATGCACCACCTTGCAAATCCCATGCCACCTTATTTCCTTTGGATTTGTTTGGTGGAATGTTAGGATTGTATGATTTGGCTTTTTGGGGTTGTTCGGGTTTTCAGTTGGGGTAGGGTTTATTTTATTTTATTTTATTTTATTTTATTTTATTTTATTTTCTGCCACTGAAGAGAAGCAGAGGAAATGAAGAGAAACAAGTAAAAGAGGAGGAACGAGCACTCAAACTGTGCCTTCTGCTATTACCTGTCTATAGGTTTCTTCAGGGCTCAGTTCTGGCTGCAGCAGAAACTCACATTTCAGTAGACTTTACTTGTTTCCAAGAACAAAGGGTAAAAGGAAGGCATCTTGCTCCACAGGACCTAGCCTACCTCCCAGATGCTGTTTGCTTTACTGCTTGTGGTCTCAAAAGAAGGAAACAAGTCCTAGTCACGAGGTTTACTTTGGACTGGCAGCCTGCTCTTAACCAAGAATGCAGAAGCACTCCCATCCTGGAGTTTGGTTCTGTCTCACCTCCAAGGAGGAAGCTCAGATGAATGAGAGATATCAGCAGAAGTGTTTTCATTTTACTAAACCCCAATGGGTTTCTTTTTTCTACCCAGAATTAGTTGGCTCCTACTTTGTCAAAGAGCATGCTGACCACAGTAATACCCACGAGGGATGTGGTTTTTTAGAAAGTCAGTAAAAGACTTGATAGAGGGTACACAAACCAGCATGAGTGCTTGTGGCAGTGATGTTTATTCTGGTAAAATAAAATTTTAAGAGCATAAATATATATATTTTTGCTGATGAAAAATGACTTTCACCAAAATCCTATAGATGGACTTTAGGACAAAATATGCACCTGAAAGGTCTCTGATAATCTGGAGCATAAAAGTGATGGGAAGCAGAAGAAGCACCCTGAAAGGCAGAAAGATGGAGTCCAAACTTCTAACACAGACTGTTTTAGTGATTGCTAGAGCATGACCACAGTGCTGAAGTCAAGCCATTATTCTGGCCCCAACAAATCAATTAAAGAATTGCCATTTAACCAAAAAGGCCAGCTGGTTTAAAACAATCTAGAGCTTGATGAGAATAATCTCCTGCAAACCTGTTTGTTCCCAGGGCCAGAAAGGAATCTTGGTAGGCACTGCATAAAACTCTTCACCCTATTTCAGCCCTTTTCACTCACTGAAGGAACATCCCTGAATTACACAACCTACTGCAGAAAGCCCTCCAGCATATGAGCTGATAAACAATTTTGGCTAAAACATCATCCAGTCATCCTAAACCAGCTATCTTGGATGCCTGTACTACTGTCAGTCTTTTAGAGTGATGCTGCAGCCCATCTTAGAATATCTGTTGTTGATGTGGCTTGAACTACAAAGTGCATTACAAAAAACTACAAAGCATTTTACAGCAGCTTCAGATACCATCCACTTTTCAGCCACCTTTAGTAACCCTTCACTTCTGAGGTACCCTATTAGTTTGTCTCTTTACTTGAAGGAGACCCCAGTGTTGCCACCCTCATACTAAAGGGCAGAGGAGAAACTTTACTCTGCTCTACAAGCCACTGGTGGCAAGAAGGGGCTCACAGGATCCATTACGAGGGACATCCGGTTGTACAGTCATGTTGGTGATCCAGGAGCTGTAAGGACCCCTTCCAATCTTCCCCACCAGCATCAGAGGTCTGCTCCTGGAACTGCTTCCCAGCAGAGCAGCCCACCTTTCCCAAGCCCCAGCAACAGGGTGCTGCCCTTGCCCAGGCTGGATGCCCTTCTCCTCCAGCTCCGTGCTGAGAACACCAAGTTCCATGCGAATGGAGTAATATTTTTTACTCATAATTAGAGCAAAGTCTTCCAGAATAATCACAGAGTGCTAATAGCTCCAGGAAGCTTGGAAAAAAAAAAAAAAAAAAAAAAATTTGGGCTAATTTGTCAGAGACCAGGGAAGTATGTAAAATGATGCACGTATCATTTACACAGATTACAGTGTCTCCATTAAGAAGACAGTTTGAAAGGCCTCTGAAGCAGGGGCTCTTCCTTCCTCAAAATACAAATCCTCACGAAAGCAACTGTGCACAAACAGAAGAAAATAAACTAATGACGGAAAAAGCATGTTGTTATTTTCCACTATCCAATTTTTTATTTAGAGATAATTAAAACCTGAGCATTACACTGCCTTTGAAGGACAGGTAACACTATTTCTTTCACTCCTTTTGCCAGTACAAATATGATACTAATTCTGGGAAAATGGGCATCCAAAAGTCTAAATGAATAAATGAAGTACCTGAAAATCAATAGAGTTGAACAGAACAGTCATTAGTATTAAAGTCTTGTTCAAACACTCAGCAGGGGACTGCGCCAACATTTGCAGACTCATAAAACTGAAGTGATCAATCAAATTACAAACGAAAGAAGCAAATGCGAGGTAAACTGCATTTTATGCACCTGTGTCTCTGATTGTATATTAATTTTTTTCACCCATAATTCATCTTTACTCAGTCTGGCTAGTCACAGAGTTACTGTGGGCAATTTATCAACCACTTGAGCATGAATTCCAAGCACTGCTCTTCTCCTCCCATCTCCTTATGCTCTCCCGGGGCACAAGAAGAGGCAAAAGAAGGGCACAGTCAGTGTAAAAAAATTGTTTTGTTGGTAGAGTTCCCCAATTCCTGTTGAGAATACCTTGACAGAAAGGGGTTTAACTACCACTTGGAAGGGAAGAGGATTTGCTTGAGCCACTTAGAGGGACAGTCTCCAGGCCATGGAAATAAGAGTCCAAATTTTGTTAAAAGAAAATAAACCAAATCCCTCCACATTCAGCCGTTTTCCTTGTGGACAGTGCATTCACTGAAGTGGTTGCTGGAGGTGGAAGGAGACAATACCTTGGTCCTACACCTGCTCCGGGAGATGGGTAAGAGCTCACAAAGATGTGACAGCAACCCCACGAGTGGCATTCTTTCCTCTCTGTCTGATAAGCCTAGCATTTCAACACAGGTGTTCTAATTTCTTCACAGGAGCCACCTTGATTTATGCAGCCACTCTCTCCAAGCTCCTTAGCCTAACTCACAGTGCAGCTATGGCGAGCCCATTCCTCTCTTTCAGTGCATTTCATTGCCTGTATCCTCTTTCACTTCAAGAAGTGCCTTGCACTTCTGACCCTCAGTTCAGGATGGGGGATTTCTGATGGCACTTTGATGGAAGTTTGGGCAATATTCTGGTTGAGTTGAGTTAGTGGGGGCCCTCTCTGCTGCTTGCACTTGTCTTCTTTCACCCCTGTGTGGTTGCACACCCATAGATCTCTATGTTGACATATCGCGGAGCACAGACTCATACCTGCTATAAACCAAATATTACTGCCATTCTTGGAAGGCAAGTGTTTTTCCAGACCTTAATACTGGCAGAACTAAATCCATCTTGGAGGTGAACTGCAGGTCACTGAAGCCCATAAAAAGATTGCCTGATTTCAGTGACTGCTGGACTAGACCCTGTGTGAAACAGCTCATACAGACTGTTAGAAATCAAACATGTCTTTCTCCATCCAGATGCAGGGAAAAAGATTTCCAAAAATAGGTGCTGAAGTGAATGGCTTGCTTTTCAACACCACCAAACAACCCTCATCACTCACAGTGTGACTGGAAGTGCGTGATGGCTGGAGTGGAAAAAATTACTCACAACCAAAAGAATCCCAAAACAAACAGCATATATTTAGACACCTATGTCTATATGTACATGTGCAAGTATAGCAAAGGTCTAGGACATGCAATCAAGGACGTGCAAATGTTGGTAGCAAATAACTGTATATCAGAGAAGTGGTGGTAATTAAATATGATTTCAGCCTGTGGCAGAAGATAACGCATATTAGCTTAAACCTCTTGCACTGCAGACCAATCCAAGTCAAATAGCCCTGCATTTGCAGCAAGTAGCTTGTGCCCACGGAGGCTGTCACGGCAGATCAGGCAATGTGGGGATCACTTGTTTTGCCGTGGTAACGTGGTGGCATAGATGAACCTCAGCTGAGATCTGCTTTGGGTTATTGTACTGCTTAACAATAAAGTACTTACTCTTCCTCTATGATCCAGACTGGTACAGGAGAATTTGTCCCTGTGACTCCCACACACCCTCAGCCCAGTGGATGATGGTCCACACAGCTAATGTGTGTTATGCACCTTTTGTTCAAACAGATATTTTTCAGGAATGTCCATGCTCTAAATGTTAATTTCCTAGACAATGCACATGCAGTGGAAGGCTTCAAACTGCTCAATTCCAGTTTAAAAGACATCCCACAATCAATAGTTTTAAGAAAACTTGGAAACAAACCCACCTTTGGAGGAGAGTAGAGATGACAAAGTGGTTGTCCTGGATCCTGTTTACACAGCCTCAAGGAATGGCAAACCACATCGGCATTCATTTCCCTGTCTATGCTGAACGAAATGATGCATAAACAAAGACTATTATGTTTTTCTGGGCTCTTGAAAGGAAAAGCTATTTCCATGGGAAGCTAAATCTTCCCAACACACCACAGAATAATCCCAGCTCACTTCACCGTGGCCCATAACCGCTGCTCAGTACAGTGTTGGGTTCTAATGATTTTCTGCCACGACATCCTACTCAGCATTTAAAATTGGAACCCAGGATGATGAAAAAGGAGCTCTACATGCAGCACCTGAATCAAATGCATTATAACTATTCTAGTTTTTTAATCAATCATAAGCCTGACAAAGATTTAAAGGTTAAAGTTAATGCATATGCAATTTGGCACATATGAATGTTCAATCATTAACTCAACAGCATAACCAGAAATCCTTCAAAGATCCTTAACCTTTAATCACCAAGCATGAATGCTAGGATTGTTTCTTCCTTTTTTGGGACACACCTCTGGGCTAATTAGGAATTAAATTAAAATGTTTGATTACAGTATTTCTTAGTCCTGTAAGCACTTTGCAGTCCCTTGGCTAGTTTTAAAAACAAAAATAAAAGCCCTAGGGAAGAAGAAGGTCTAGTAAAAGCTCTGTTAATTAAACTAAGAACTTTCAAAGAGGAATAAAATGACCTACATTTTATTTTTTTAATCACTTAGATTAAATAGTAGGCTTCCCCAAGAGTGTATATCAAGGTCGGGGCTGAGAGCATGTAGGGGCTGACAATTAGAAAGCCTGATTAAAGGTAGAATGGAAAGCAAGAGCCAAGTAACAACGATGTGATTTTATAGAACCTGTCTCATACACACAGGTTATTCAAATTCCTCCCTCAGCCAAATGATCTGAATTTCAAAAGATAATTATATCAGGTGGGCCTGATCTGAGATTTAAATGGAATATCAAAATGGTTACCAGTGGCACCCTGTGTTTATTCACTCAGGAATAGCTGTGCCAAATGCCAAACCAGAATCACTGTGAAACATCTCTGCTTTAAAAATAATGTGATTTTAGGATGGAAATCCCTCCACTTCAACCTGACAGCACATCTGTACCTGTCAAGAACAAACTAAGCAAAAATCTGAGAGGACACAGCAATACTTACAGTTCAGCTATGTGTGGTCCATAAAGTTCAGCAAGCACATAACAGAAACCTTGCAGTTTTTCTAGAAAACATAATTTAAAAATTTTTTTTAAAGTAATTGAACATGGTGAAACTGGTTTCATAGCAGTCAAAATACAGAAGCAGTTGGTTCATTAAGGTGAATGCTGATTTACCTTAGGGAAAGGCATATGAATCTCTGACCTCAGTGTAGCACCAGAGAATGGGAAAATCTGAATTTCTAATCTTGCCTAAAACTCTTCTGGCTTTAGGTAAGTCTCATGATAAAGGAAAACTAGCTTTTGTTAATTTTTCTGAATATGTCATAATGGAAAAGTCAAAAGAAATTGTGCATGCCACAGAATCTTCTAAGCAGTTTATACAAACATCTCAGTAGGTCTGAAACAAGAAAGAAAACAAACTCATAAATCAAAGTGCAGAAAGTGATGTTGGGCTTGATGCTACTCCTAGAACTGCCTCAGAGCTTCTGGGGGCTTGTGGAGCTAAGAGAATGTGTTTTGTGTAGAGCAGGACTTGTGCAGGAGTAATTGCATTCAAAGAAATACCTGACACTTTTCATTTGGCTTCCTTTCACAGTCCACAGCTGTGTGCCTTTTTGGGATGCTGGCTCAGGTGGTTTCCTTAATATGTGTGAAGCATATCACGGATAAGACAGCTCATCAGAGAGTCCTTTAAGGCACTGTTGTAAAATAACAGGGGATCCATGCACCCGAGCAAAGAAACTGAGGGAGAGTGGGGGTGTGAGTACAAGCAGGGCACTGATCTGACAGTCCCACGAAGGAAAACTGCCTGTTTCTTGGCCTGGGCAGACTAGAGCTGGTTAACCATGCACATATCCTGCAAAGGAGGTGCCAGGCCTTGCTCCAGCTGGGGTGGTGCTGTGAAATGTCATAAGAGACAGGTTCACACAAGTGCCGTGACAACAAACTTGCAGCTCCTCAAACTCCTCAGAGTTTTCTCTTGCACCTCCATTAGCCAGGCAGATAACTATCTGTACCTGGGGAAGAAAGCACAGAGTATTCTCATCTTTCCCAGAGAAAACCCACAGAAACACCCAAAGCAGTCACTTCCCTCTGACTTTGGGCTGAATATTCCATTTTAACCAGTGCCTGGACACACCCAGGGCTGCTGCATACAGGGTGGGTAGTTCTGCTGTGTGGAGGGTACAAATCCTTGTGGCAGGGACTCCACTGGTGGCCATGGGTGTGCTCCTGCTCCCACAGCTGCTCTCCACCCAGGCTGGCAACCTGCATCTGAGAAAGGAGGACTGGCAGCAGGAAGGCATATCAGGCAAAGAAATAATTTTCCCAACACCCTCCTACTCATGGTGTTGCAGGCAGCTTCTGTAACTACAGTAGTTGATTTTTCTTATTCCATGGCAGGTGTTTTATTTCAATCAAGTTATTAGCTTCATTTCTTTGCCTCCTTTGCCACATAACTCCTCACTATTGGCTCTTTAGAAGCAATCTGAAAGTAAAAATTGGTCTTGTGACTAGAATTAGATTTTATTCTTGTTCACCTAAAATGAAAGATGTTGCAGACATCAATAACCCTGTGTTTGGCATCACTGTTGATTAGAAAACCCTCTGATGAGGCTTGTCAGGGGGGTACCTGGCTCCCTAAGGTAGCCTGCAGGCAAACGTGGCTGGCTTCCCCAACACCTCCCCAGTACATCACGGGCAATGGTCTCCTTATGAGTTTCCCAAACCAGCTGGTTTCCAGAACATTTTTGGCTCTGGAGGAGCCAGCTGGCTGCTGTAACTTCTCCTGGTGTCTGAGAAGAGAGCAGACTTTGGCTACCTATCATCTCTGGGGAGCTGATATAGGTTTTGCTGGTCACATTGATTTCCTTAATGCATATAGGAAACTTAACGTGTAATTACCCCACGGTGTAAAAAGTGATGGGAGGTAAAAGGAATAGTAATAATGTTAAATTATCGTTGAGCATGTAAAGTCCTCTTGGAAGATTCAGATGCCATTCAGGCTTTGGCTTTCAACAAAACACCAAGACCAAAGCCACATACAGCGTTTACAGGACCTGCCATTGGAGCCAGGCTGCATTCATGTGTTCACAAATCTCCAGCTCTGCTAACACACACAAGGAGAGGATATTGCAAAGAGAAATCTCTGTTAGGAAGAAGCAGTATAAGTCAGAAAACAGGGGGAGAGAAAGAGAAAAATTATGAATAACTGTGGGTGTTCAGGGGCAAAAAAAGAGCTTAAACAAAAATAAATGCTGGAAAATTCAGAGAAAATGTAGAGTACACTTGCTTCAGGTAAAAGAGATTCCCAAAGATCCCTTAGATCCCCTAAGAACAGTCAGGAAGGTTTTCCTGTATAGCTTCATAGTCCTGGAAACACAAACACTGGCTGAGTCCCAGAGGACAAATATTTGCCAAAAAGATGCTATTATCACACTGCCATTTGCACTTGAGCTCTAAGGTGTTTACACAGCAGCGGTCAACACAGAAGCAGAGCATGACTCAGAGGCAAAGCTGGAGGCAGAGGGTCTCAAGGCACATTTCGGGTATCAGACACCTCTTTGTCATCAAGCAGACAGTCAGTACCCAGGTAAACATACATTCTTGCTAACAATACCTCTTACACTGTAAATACTGCCCCTTCCCCCAGACCTGGCCTTTCTCTCTGCTCAAGAGCCTTCTTCACTCGTGACATTACTGTTCTTATTGTCATAGGTCTATTTGCCATGTCGCTTGAATCACACACATTGCAAGTATTTCCATACAAATGAGGCTGTGGTTCTGTTTTCTGCACAGCCTGTGAGATTGAGTGGGACTGACAGGTAATGAAATTTTCTCTCTTTTTCTCTAAGCATTTTTTGTTCTTGAACATCACATAACTTTACAGAAGGCTTGATCCAAACCTGACTCAGAATTATAGGATGCCCTCAAAAAACCCACTTTCTAAGGTTTTTATGCCTTAGGAAAAGCCTCACTGCCATTAATTTGTTGCTGTTTTTCTTGCTATGGATTGTAGGCATGTGCATAATAATGAAATTGTCTCTCCATGTGAAATGTATGACCTGCTTTAGTAGGTTTGCTCCTCACGAGCATCCAAAGCTTTTCTGCTGTTTCAAGCAGCAAGAGGAAACTGTTGATTCCTGCTGGGCTGCAGTGTTCACCTCCCAGGAGAGGATAAATCAGGTTACACTGCAGCTCCCACAAAATCCATAGGATTTTTCACTCCTTTCAAGTTCAGGGTCAGGTTTTTTTTCTACTGGGTATATCCATGCATCTCAGAAGGTAACTGGATTATACAGATTCAACTAAAGGGATAATAGGATTTTATGTGTGTAAAGAATGGCAGCTGAAAAGAAATATCTTGACATGTCAGAAGAACAAGGTCCACTGAGTGAATCATGAACACAGAGCTAGCATGTCATAATTTAAAGAAGAAAATTGTGTTTTAATAGCAGGATCAGTGCTTCTAATTGCAACTTCATGGTTATGTGCCTGTAATTTACAACACTGAGGATATGACTTAGGAATAGAAATCAGATAAGAGTCATTCTATCGATGAATGAGTCCTAGCAATTAGCTCCCTGCCCCATTCTGCCTTGGGAAATCCTTCCTTGGAAAGGAGGGAATTAATATTCTACATATATCCTCCATGAGACTGGGGTCTAGAGAGCGAGATGGTTTCTCAGAGACACAATTCATGAAATCATATAAAAATGACATTTTAATGAAGAATCCTAAGCCATCTTTTTACATTAATAATATTAAAAAGATATCATGAATGTGAGACCTAGCTACTTAAATAGTTATAGGATTGGTCTGTGAGGCACAAAGCTATTCTGGCATTCAAACTGTTCTCTATTTAGGGGTGTGCCTGTGGAGCTGCAACCTCCTTTGGGTAGATAAAATAAGGAGCAGAAAAAGGGGAGTCTTACATATATTCTTATGGAATAGATATTGCTTTTGAAACTTGTATCACCAATTACTTTTCAGTAGCTTTTCTGTGCACTTCAAGTGCTCACATCTTACACCTGTCAGCCTCATCTCATTTTAAAACTTTAAAATAGCAGTACCCATACCCACTGAAAACATTTTCATCTTCACTGTTGCTATAAAGACCTGTACCAACAAGCAGGAGGAGTGGTGGGGCATACAGTGAATCTATTCTTACTGCTGCTAACAAAGAGACTAAGGGGAGAAAAGGGAAGGGAACTGGTCTGCATGTGTTGGTGCTCACATGTCTATGGGGCTTAATATAGTCCCATTCACTCTAACTTTTGGGACAAAACCCCAGCTCTGAATCTAATTGAAGACATGTCACTGACTTCCCTGTAAATAGCAACTTGCTATCTCCCAGCTACACACATTTGAGGTACTGCACAAGAGGTGGATAAAGTTTTTCAGACTTCCCATGCGAATTTTTAATTAACAGGGAAATACATCAGCACCAACGCGACATATGGCACATTATTTGGTACTTACCAGGTATGTAGTCACACAGTCTCTCCACAGCTGCCTTTACTGTACTGTTGTGCCACTGTGCAAGCTGTTCGATGACAGACACCACAAGCACGCATCCTTCAAGAAAACAAAAACCAAAAAGAGGGAATACCATTACTGGTGAAATGTTATGAAGTGCCCTGCACCACAGAAGTGTTTCTGGCATCTTTGGGCATTTAATTTACTGAGATGCTCCATGACAGAGAGGTGTTCAAGGGGAAAAAATATCAGTGAATTCCCATCTTCATTGAAAACTTGCAAGTTTTTAGAGAGAGGATGCTGATTCCAGGGGAACACACAGAACAGCCTGGATTTTACAGCACTGTATGGTGCTCCTGGTAAAATGACTCCATTCTTTCAAGGCTGAAAACTGAGGAGTCAAAGGCATAGCCACTGTTACAACTGCCTGCTTGATCACCTGGTCTCTCATTTTATCTCACAAGAAAATAGGCACATGTCTGTACTTAACAGGATTTTTATGCCTCTCCACACAAGCAGCACAGAGAAGTACAAAAACCGGAAACCAAATGTTTGTGACTGCCTACAGAAGAGAAGTCACGCCACAGACGCATGTGCTGACCATGGCAGAGCATCTGTGCCATCATTTCTTCACAGACTTTCTGGTGAAGCCCAGTGATGCTCAGCACCCACAGGGCTGCTGAGCCCAGCTACACATTTGTTAAAACCAAAATGTCTTCACAGTTCATTCTGCTCTGCCTCTGTGGTTGGAAAGAAACCACTTCCTATGACCTATGAATGTGGTTATTTCTCATCGCTAATCTGGGCGTGAACAGGGCTAGCAAAGTGTTTCTTGAGATGTGCAGCACTTTTCCCTCTGCTGTTTTGGGGATTAAATAGATTCAACATGATCCCCATGGAACAGGCATTCAAAATCCACATGATGAGCATTCATTTCAAGTAAATTTTAAATTGCTGTAGGTCAGCATTGTGCTTTCTCTGCAGTGGCTTCACCATTTTATGAGAAGCACAGCTTTGGTGATGCCAAGTCTGCCCACTGTAGTCAGACCTGTGATAGCCCTGCCTAGACTCAGAGCCTGTGCCAGAGAGGCAGGTATCCCAGCCCGACAGGAGACAAGGAGCCAGGGTGCCAGTTTCCAGCAGCCTGAATAAACATTTCTCTTTGAAATCTCGGTAACCAAATCCTTTTTCCTCTCCTGTGCAAGCAATCTCATCTCTGAGTCTTGCTCTAGCAGGGTCTAGAAATGGAGGTGAGCTGCAGCATTTGAGGTGGCTGCAGACTCACCTTTTTCCAAAGCTCAAAAACATTATGCTCAGGTTTTCAGACTGGCACAACTCTTCAAAGTGAGCTTCTAAAGTCCTTCCAAGCACCCCTACCGATGTGCTATTAAATCAAAGTGCTACTTTTCAACACAAATAACTCTGATGCTTCTATAGCAAGTAAAAGAGAAGGTAGGGCAATTGGAGCTTGCTGTAAGACCAATATTTTTGACTCTTCTATTACTTCTTTTATCCCAAATGCAGTAATCCAGAAGAAATTACAGTAAATTTGTCACCTCTTTTGCAGGGATAAAAGCCCACTTCTCCTTACTTATTAAATAAAAGTCTCACTCAAGATCCTCTGCAGAATGATTTATAAAGCATGCTAAGAACCATTACCTCCAGTCAGCCTAAAAGAATTGAAGAATAAATGGAGACAGATACAACCAAGAAAAACCCTGAAGCAAGATATTGCTTCTTTCCTGTCCCCCTCCCCAACTCCCCAAATAGCCAGAGGCTAACTACTCCCAGGAATTAGCAGCTATTTAAAAACACAACAGCTGAAAAAAAAAAAAAAAGTTGAATAATAAAGACCCAAACTAAAAGTAAAGGGAAGGTCCAAGATGAAGTGTATAGCATGTTCAGGTCTTGGTCTCAAAGAACAGGCCAGGGCCCTCTGGTCAAGGTTTAACCTTACTACAGCCTTATCATAAGATAGTTTGGGTTGGAAGGGACTTTTATAGTCCAAGCCCTGCAATGAGCAGGGCCATCTCCACGCAGATGAGGTTGCTCAGAGTCCCGTTCAACATGATCTCAAATGTTTCCAGGGATAGGACATCCAGCACTCCCACAGTTGTGGGGGTGGATGTTAAAGAGTGCAAGAGACTTCAGCTGTTTTAGTGCAAATCATGCCCTGCACTGGCTCAGGGACAGAAAACAGAGCCTGGCTCCTTTGCCAGTGTTGGGTGGTAATAGCCTTGCGTGGCTGACTCCAGCCTTTAGCACTGAGATGGCCCTGCACATCCTGAAAACACACCATAACACGTCTGAAAGGCTACATTATTAACACACATGAACGACCTGCAGACAACAGGGACTACCCTTGCCCTGACCTCTATGTCTATTTTATTCATGAGGATGGAGGCTCAGGAAAATTAAATTACCTAAATGATAACTTAACCACAAAACCACACAATCTTTCTGTGCTTTCCTTTCTTCTTACCAAGGTCAGATATTCATCTATCAATCTTGCTATCTAGATGTCAGAAAGACAAGAAGGAGTCCAAGCAGAGAGGCAGGGAGAAGCTAGACCTTTCATATTTTCCAAGGTGCACACATTTTGTTGTTTCACCTCTCATTCTTTTGCCTCATGAGCTTGAGGATTCTACAAAATCATAGAATTGTTTAGGTTGGAGTTGACAGTGTCAGCTACTGCAGCAGATAGAAGTGTTGCTCATTTTGCCTATGCTGCATAACCCAGTGCTCCTGCACTTGCAGCCAGGGGCTGCAGAAAAAAGGGATTAACGGAAAAAAGGGAAAAACAGCTCAAAATCCAAAAAGTCGGGCTGAGCATAAAAATACTATTGATATTTTTATTTTCTCTGTTATACAACAAGACAATTCACACTGAAGATGTAAGTTTCTCTCTCATGTTTGTCAAAGTACCACAGAGGGAGTGAGAATAAAAAATGAAAGATATTTTTGGTTCAGCTCTGCCAAATAAACAGCATTCCTAATCACAAACACAATCATGCAGGTAGCCCCACTCAAGCAGCAGTCTCACAGCAATTAAAAGAAAATTTTTCATGTTGATTAAGTCAGATAGACACTTTTGTGTCTATTGAACCAGGCCCAAAGGCAAATCTGCTTCACATGAGGCTTAACAGAGCCAATACTGAGTCTGAGCAGTACTCAATGCAGTACCTCAGGCTACTAAATGCTATATGAATATAAATAACAATAATAACAGTCTGACTACTTGGGAAAAACCCACAGAGATGAAATTCAAAATGTTTGCTCTCATAAACTCATCTTCACTATCACAGAGGATGTTTCTGCTTGTGCTATTACATCCTCCCCACTTCAGGCACCTGCAGACCACACCTTGGTTATCCAAATGCTTCCTCCTCAAGTGCAGTTATTCCACATGAAATGCCACACTCCATGAGACAAGCTGATGGAGAAAGTCATGGCTGATTTTCAAAAGGATCTGACATTCCTTAGGCACCGCAGCTGAAGTCTCTGGAAGTGAATTCGGAGAGTCTCCCAGCCCTCTGGTAGGAAAGGTGCTCCTAGGGAACACATTCCACCAACACATGATATTGGCTGATCTGGTCTCTGTTGTCCTCTCTACCTGGGCTTTTCTCAGTTGCCCTGAGCTGACCCCTCCTTACTCCTTGTGAGCTGTGCCCTGGGGGTTGCTTGCTTATGGGCTGGGTCTGCTGATCTCAAAGCCTTTAATTTAGGTTGATGCCATCAGGAGAGGTTTTTGGGCTAGAGATTCTAAAATACTCAGGAAAAAGGCTGAACCCTGTGAGGAGGGAGGAGGAGTGTTCTAAGGGGACTCACTGCAGCAGAGGGAGCCTAATCTACCTAGGCTTCTTGGTTTTTCTCATGGAAACATGCCTCCCCAGTAATTCAGATTTATCCTCTAGGAGAACTTACCTCTGGTGTTAGGCTATAGGTAAACTTCAAGAGGTTTGTGTCTATAAATGAAAGTTAATTCCGACTATCCTTGCTTTTACTACAAACGTGCTCTCTTTTTATCGTCTTCCTTTGCACTGAGTGGCAGAAATGCTGAGCAGTTGTCCTAGTATTTAATGGGTCTTAATTCCACTGGATAAAAATGGAAAATAATTATATACTAAAAAGGGCAAGGAGAAATCAGATGTCTTTGACTGTAAAAATCTCATTGCTTTAATTACTTATGACATGTACAAGTATATAAACTTTTAAGTACTCTGGCATCAGTAGAAAAGCATATCCAGACCTGGCCAGTCATTAGCAGCTATTGCTTGCTTTTAATTCACTAGATATTTAGATGTGATTTATTTCTCATTGTGAGATGGACACATATAAGGCAACATAAACAGGCTTCATCATTAAATAAAGTTATTTTTTTGTTTAATTGTTGCACATGATTTTCTTTAGAAACTTTTAGTAAGTTGATTCTGCTGTCTCACTTCAATAATAGGCTTCAATACCTGGACAGGCTGAAGGATGTTTTTCTCTGAAAGAAATTCATTGGCATTATAATACCTACCAGACATTAGAAACTAGACTCTAGTATTAATAAATGCCTGTCGCTTTTAGCCATGGCTTGTCCCATCTGCTATTAATTTCTGAAGAGATAAGACAAGACCATAACCATTTGGCTCAGTGCAGTAAGCTGAAAACTCACACATCAGGAAGTACTTCTTTCCATATATTTGAAGGTAGTGTAATAAAAAAATGCCATTTCCAATAAGCTCAGGGAAAAAAAAGTCATACCCCAATAATAAAATCAGAACTAGAGGAATTCATTGCTTAGCTGTGAAGCCTCTGGCAGTTTGAGCAGACTATTTAACTTTAATCCACTTCTGCCACACAAGTTTGAAAGGCTCTATAATTAGAATTATACCTAGGGATGTCAAAAAGTATCTGGATAGTGAGAGCTGCCTCTCTAAGTTTCAGATTTGTAGGTATATTTTTCTGAGTAAAACTCTGTTCAATGGGTTTTCTGGCACCTGGCACATCCTCCTTTGCCATCCTTTGCTCATGTTTCTGGATGCTGGATTTCTTTCCCGCCTCTACAGCCATAAATTAAATGTACCCTCAGAATACAAGAAAGACATAAGTCC